ATACTGACTCGCTTCCTCTTACGGCTCTCCCCCTTCTGGATCCGTTCCTTCAGGGTCTGAAGCTCGTCTTCGGCCCATTCCTCCCGTTCTGCACGTTCGTAGAACTCGGCGGTCCTTGCACTTTCCTCCTGCCGCTTGATGTATTTCAGTGCTGCCAGGTTATAACTGATCTGGGACTTCTGTCGCAGCAACGCGCCTCTCAAATGTCCACGAAGCGAGATAAGTAAGGGACGTAGCGATCTGGTGGCTACTATTTGCGATGCATGGATGCGGAGTACGTAGGATAGGATACTTGAGGAAAGAGTGGTCGCCATATCCTGAAGATTGTAGATTAGCTGTGGTCAATATATTTCATTTTTGTACACACTTGACTGGCCCATATGTCCATGTAATGTAAAAGGCTGGTGACTTTGCTGAACGGTATGACCAACAGAGCGTCATATAGGGCCGAGGGTTGGACCTTCTCCACCGTTTTGAGTACATACAACTCTGGGGTAATATCCAGTGCGGATAATACAGGATTTCGCGGAGGGGGTCCAACCTTATTTTTCTCACTAACGGGGAGTCGTTCTATCGCGTTGGCGTATTCCTTGGCGCCTTCCAACTCTCTATCTGCAAGCTCCAGCGCCTCGATAATCTTTTCTCCTGCCATCAATGACTCCATGGTGTGCTTTTGTACCATTGTTGTCTCTGTGCGGGAAGCGAGGGGATCGTCTATAGCTCCTTCTGCTCTGGACCCTATGATTCCGTCCTCTCTGTTCATTTCGTCTGCTATATCGCCTTCGTATAGTCTTTCCATTTCTTTTTCCCGCTCTTCTTCCAAGAACAGCGCCTCTTCTGTGTTTTCCCATATTCGAATAGACTTGTCCTGTGAGCCAGTGACGATGACTTTGCCACCAATTCCAGCAGCTAGAGCCCAAATTTCGCCCTGGTGTCCATCCAATTTTTGTATCAACTCAAACTGAATTATATCTATCAGACTTAAACCCTAAACAGCTGGATATAAAGCATACCTTGTCCCCATCCCAGTATTTAACCCATTTATCCTTGGAGATGGAGAAGAAGTTATGTGTGCGCGGTTCAAATGCCACTTGCATGATACTGTCATCATGAGCAAATAAGGACTTGTGACAATCTCCGAAATCCATGCCCCAGATCTTGACGTTCTTGTCAGCTGAAGAGGTAATGATAAGCTTAGAATCCGACGATATGTCCAATGAAAGAACAGGAAGCTATTA